GGCAGCCCGTAGCCTCCTCTTGTGCGCTGGAAGCAGCTCACCTCCCGTGTGCTGGCAGGGGTGGTACGGCCTCTCAAGAAGCACCCAGAGTTAGTAGGTGTGAATCGCAATCCCACTGTGTCCACTTGGGAACTCGGGCAAAGCTAAGCCTGATGTGGTGTGTTGTTGAGAGATGCCAGGTACTGGACATCAGGATCTCTGCGTCCTAAGACCTTTCCTCTATTGTTTTAGTTTTTAAAGTTATAGTAGTGCAACGTTTTGACTAGTTCACTAATGGAATTGATCCATTTAGTAAGTTTGGTGTTTTTTTCTGAGGAGGCTAATTTAAAAATTTTTAAGTCTCCAGCTTTCAGTTTATCCTTTGAATTTTTAAATTATTTGTTTTGTTTGGTTTTGCTTTGTTTTTGGTACCAGGGATCAAACTTGGAACTTCACACTTGTGAGGCAGGTGGCAGCACCACCAAGCTAAATCCCTGGCCCAAAGTTTTTAATTTTAAAAGTATACTTTTATTAAATTTTAGTTGAGCTCAGGGAAAGAATGATTCCTTAAGGACACAGGCAAACTTGTTCGTTCATTCACCAAACATTCATGTGCTTTGGCTATTAAGAGAATAATATCCATATATGTTCTTTAGGAGTATTTTACCTTCTGTTTAGAGTACTAATGTATACATAGATGTTTAAATATTATGAGACAACAGAGAAGAAATTAAATAATGGTAAATTTTTGGATATGCCTGTATTTACTTTGGTGAAACTAAGTTCAACTTAGATTTAAGTAAACTTTTTGTGGTTGAGCAACTTAAACAACTTTTTAAAAAATGACTAGAGATTTTTTATTTTTATTAATAAGCACAAATTTGAATTTGCTTTTTCATGATAGTGGTACCTAAACATTTAAATTTAAGTCAAATTATCTCGAAGCACAGGATTTCACTTTTGTTTGATGAATCTACTTAATAGATTTTAGATTTATTTGTTTGGATTAGGACCTAGATTTTTTGGTTTTCTTTTTGAAAAAATTTACCAAGACAATTCTAATATACAGCCAACATGAAAACCAGTATCCTAATTTTATGTGTGTAAGAATTACCTCAGAGCCCCTTAAAAGCTTTCCTCTCCCTCATCCCTAGATCGTCAGATTTAATGAT